TCTTGACTTGATAGTTTTCAGTTTTTTGTTTTAATAGTTTTCTAGACTGGTGTTTTTGCAATAGAACTTTGTATCCTTGCAGAAATTACTTGATGTTTGTTGCTAACAGCTGTGGTGTGAGTGATCTCCCTATCACCAGGGATTCCGGGCTCTCTGCTGAGGTGTTGTCCCTGTCGGATGTTGACCTAACATTTGAGAATGCCAAGTGGAAGACTGGCTGTAATGTTGGGTCTACCTGTGGATGAGGCTGGATCTACCTGCAGCTGACCTGCTCTACACTTCTCTTGCCCTCCTTAATTAAAGAGTTTATTCACTGCATTTACCATTTGGATTATGTCTCATCAGTTCTCCTTCTGATGTCTGACAGTTTTGATGATGCCTGCTAATGGGTAAGATCAGAGTCCTGAATCCTCAAGGAGTTGTTGTGACCACTGTAACTCATTGTGGAATTTGTGTGATTGAGCCTATTTTAGGTCACTCTATCGCATGCCTTCGCTAAACTGTTAAGTGCTTTGGCAGCATACAAGATGTCAGTCTGGATTTTGTGAAGCTTGCTAGTTGCCTTGAGTGACCTGGCACATTAGCGGCTTAATATTCCAGTACATTTTCCATGAACTAAGGCATAGTATTGGCTATGGTTTTGTTACTGAAGAGCTATGAAAAGTTTTATTCTCACATAGGTCACACTGGGCCCTATTCACCCTTCCTAATGACTGGGGGCCAATAGCCAATAAGAGCAAGCATCACCAGCTGCAGCAGTAGCATACACTAGCGTTGTTTGACACTAACAGTAAATCTTTATTTCCAACTCATCTCCAGCTCACACTGCAAAATGTACAATGCATGCTGATTCCTCTTCTTAGTCATGACATCACTCACACTGTTTTCTCCTCAGTACAAAAAAATAACACACATGCTATGAGCTGACAGTGATCCACCTCCATGTTTGTTTTGCTCTGAAGTCAGATTTGAACATATGAGTTTCTGTGAGATCCCAAGTCTCGAGAATCACCACTCTGAAACTGTATGTGGCTCTGCAGCTTGACTCAGTCATCTGGTGTGTGCATTCTTACAATTAAAATATTAAAATTTGATTAAACCTGTGGGCAGCATGGTGGATAGTGCTGTCATCCCACAATATGAAGGTTCTGGGTTCGAGACCCGGCCGACCTGGTGCCTTTCTATATGGAGTCTGTATGTTGCCTGCGTAGATTCTCTCTAGGTACGCCAGCTTCTTCCCACAGTCCAAAGACATGCAGCTTAGGTTGACTGGTGACTCTAAAATGCCCGTAGGAGTGGGTGTGTGGTTCTTTCCCTTTCTTTGGGGCAAAGGGAAATGTTCACCTTGGACTTTAAGTGAAGATAGAGTATCAGAATCCAGCTCTCTGCTGGAGTGTACCCATAAGACATGATTAAAAGGCTGATTAATAAGTCTGCGTTTATTGCAAAGTACACTTCAGTGTTCCTATAATAAAGCCAGTGCTCTTAAAAGAACAAGTGAATAGACTGGCCTGAAATTTATACAGACAAGGGTGACTGACGATGCTCTGACATGTCCTCTAGGGCCATCAGTAGGTTGATATTTGTGAATCAAATGTGACACTGAACAACTGTTGGGCTGACTACCATGTAATTTAATGCATGCATTCATGGTCTTTGTGAACCTTGGTGACCTCTCCATCTAGTACCTTTTTCAGGTCAAAATTTTATTTTGTCCAGTAGAGGAGATCAAGGTTGAAAATACAAGGGGAATGTTGTACCACAGACCCACTGTCGATTCCCACAAAAGTTAGGGCTATGAAATTTATGTCAAATCATCACCCCTTTTACACCAACGATCCCTGAAAAAATGATTGTGAAGTGTTGAATGTGTTCAGAGGTATTTATCATTTTGTGATTTTAAGTGCGCAAAATAAAAATGGAGACGACACTCTTCTCTGGTTTAATATCTTTAAGTGCATATTCACAAATTGAAAGATATAATATCTTGTAGAACCATTTGTTGGTTAAATGTCCGTACTATGTATACTTGGTTGTATTTTGTAACAGCAAGGTCTAAGTTCCATGAGAGCACCGAGGAGCAAAAGTGCAATGCTTGCTGCAGGATGCTAACTTACCTTAATATGTGTTGTGCCCACACATTATGCCCAGAGTGAGGATGAGGAAAACTAACAGAGTTATGACAGACCCACAGACTTTTCCTTTGAACAGCTGAGGTGTTAAAGGTGAGCATTCAGTGAGGGCAGCAGCGTCAAAATAGGCTTTGGCTGTGGGCTTGGCTTGTAACGCATTAGGCTGCTGCATTACTGGATAACATACTGCACATAAAGTGGTGCTGTCCTACACAGCATCGATACTAGATAACATTAGCTAGTTAGATACTTAAATTTTGAAGACACAGAATATTTTACTTGAATATTAAAAATACAGTTAGGCTGTTTGTCACTTCTATAGTCTAGACTAAACATTTAATCTGCACGATCGTCATATTGAATGTGTGTGGCTTGGCCAAGACTAAGTTGTATGACCAGAAGTGAACATGGAGGATCTTTACAATCTTTACACACATCTGCTTAACAGCAATATATGTTTACCTTATGATTTCTGTGCTTTTTGACTGGTGGTACTGTCAGCCCCACGCCGTTTGACCTGACAAGTAGGGATGAGAGTATAGTTGCATGACTTTTATTTAAGTAGGATTACTTCTTAGTGGTGCACTTGTTCACTGAAATGTCTGTGGATATTGGTCATTGATATGTTTAAGTGCCCTCAAATGAAATGTGATCAGAGAAAATACATTTGTTCTCACACAATCAGGGTAAAAGTAAAAAATGGTACTTTCGACATGGATCTGCCCTACTAATCAAACTGTTTGGTTTCTCACAATGAACATTACAGCCTTACAGACACTGAACTGACTTCACACACTTAAAATGCGTTTCATACAATCTTTAGCAACCTGAAAGTTATTTTTCAACTCCTGCATTGTTTCATTCATCTCAATGGAATGACGTATTCAGAATAAAATTGGTACTAAACCCATTAGTTAGTGAAAACAACTGCATCCATGCTGAATATTTATTATGGATTTTAGAGACTTTGTTATGGTATATATAAGATTTTCTTCTCCCTGCTTCTTTTGGGTTATAGAAAGTATATGGGGGAATAGAAATGTATTCTGTTTATGAAACAGAATTTTATTTTGAAATTGTACAGTGACATGATTGGAGTAATGAAATGAAATCCAATTTCTGCTGTAATGTTATCATCCCTGTTTGAAACCTAAATTTGCAAGTACTAGCTTTTTCATCCCAAGTCCAGGCCAACAACAGCAGTAATTTCTCGGTGATCTCCCTGAAAAGTCATCGAATCTGACAATTCTGAGGCCACTTTCCATTCATAACCCATGTACATTTCTTCAGATATCCTTTCCTGTCAGTCATCAACTCTGGGAATGTTTGATGTAGCTTTGGAGCCATGGATTCACAATTAAATATAAAAAGTCTTCCCCTATGTCTGCCATTTTTGGAAGCCTGTCAGACTGCTATGCTGTTTTTTTTGCCATTCCTCATTTATTAAGAAATAAGACAGCGAGAAAGCCAAAGAGACAGAGAATATAAAGTAGGTTGAATAGATGTACTACGTTCACTAATGGTGCCTTGGACCTGACTGACAGGGACAAGTTTGAATAATTTATGCATAACATGGACTAAAACTGGAAATAGGACTAAATGGAATTGTTAGAAACCTGAGACAGTGCTGACTCAAACAAATTAGAAAGGTTTATTGGTTGGTAGATACTCTCAATGTATGTCACTCAAACCAGAATGGTCAATATCATTAGCTTGACATACACCAAGAATTTGTGATGTATAACAACAGTGGCAACAGAAATACCGATGTTCATCTGGTGGACTAGCCTTAAGCATGCTACAGCAGGATGAAAGACTGTCTCAGTGTTTCTGTTGCTCATATAGAACCTGTGGGGTTCTATCACTCCCAAATGCTGCACAGATGACAGAGAAGCTTCTGGGACACCAATCACAAAATGACAATCAGATTCAAAAGGAAGATGCCACAGTCTGTACAGTAACTGCTTCATTTGTGTAATAGTTATTTCACTTTAGATATGAAAGTCCCCAGATTCTGTGACATCCTGATTGGTAGCTGCCTCCTCTCCTTATAACTTAAGAAAGAAAACAAAGAAGTCCAGCAACACTGGTGATAGCTTCTCCAGTCTCCTTTGTACAGCCTGCACAGTAAAGTATGCACAAATATGTAATAACTCAAAAAGGGAGCTAATCAATGTCCCCTCTCAGTGCTTATCTGCTTTTAGATAGGTCACTCACATTCACGTTATAGTAACACTTCAGTTCCCTGATCCCTGATTCAACACAAAGGATGAGGCAGATGAAAGCACAAAAGCTTTGTCCTTCAGATGTAATGTGTAATGAATGCAAGCATTTTTTTCTGATTAAATGAAGCACAGACACACAAGGGTACTTACACTCGGATTAATTCAGTCTTTAGTAAGGAATAAAGGAATAAATGCTACTGAGCATATGTGTACAATGCAACTAACCAGATTTTGGACTCAGTTGCCCTGGCATGCTTGTCTATGCATAATGCTGCTCACAGTGTTAATCTTTCTGCATTAATCCTGTCATTCAAAATGCCTCCACAACATTTACACCCATCCAATTATCCTAATTAATTAGTCCAATTACAACAGGGCCAGTTTATTTTCCTGTGAACAATTACATTGTAATGATGATCTGGAAACAGGTAATGATGGTTAATAAGTGAAGCGAGAAATCCGTGAGGGCTCAAAACAAAGTCAAAGATGTAGCGATAAACACAGAGGGGTGAGGGGAAGAGAGGGAGGCAGAGAGGTAGACAGTGAGTGAAAATAAAATAGGAAGCACAGGAAATGTGATACATGAATGTAGCAGAAAAGTGTAAGGTAATGTACTGTACTTATTCACAGACAAGCAAGTTACCTGAAGAAGAAATGAGTTTCCAGCTGATGGAAGGCTCTGGTTTACCACTGGCTTGGCACATTAAGGTGACATTGGAGCCTTCGTTTACCACAATATCTCTTGACAAATTGATGATTTTTGGTGGTACTGTGAAAGAAAAAAAGTATAAATAGAGTTTGATGTGTATCTGCTGCATCAAGTTTAATTTTTTTCCTATAAGTCCTTCAGCTTATATGACTTATATGGTCACTTCCCTCTCACTTAACCCATAGCAGCATCTCCTGAAATAGCACTTCTACTCTGGCAGGTGGAATTGCAAGAACTGCCAACAAGACAGAACAAAATGGAAACAGTCATAAACACGACAAGTGTACCAGAAATCCATTATCATGGAAACTGTCACAGGCATGCCATTACAATTATGAAACTGTCATGGTTTTATTGCATTTAGCCACACAGACTATTCAGTTCAATTCAATTTTATTTGAATTCACAGTATACAGTAGATCAATCATAGGAATCACTGACATACTGTAACAAGAGATCGGGGAGCTGGTAATATTAAATTAAAAATTCACAAATCACAACAACAATTTATCTCATGGTGCTTTGCATATTAAGGTCAAGGCCTTACAGTATTACAGAGAAAAACTCCAGAAATCACCCTTGAATAAGCAATTGGCAACAGTGGGGAGGAAAATCACTCGAGTGGAAGAAACCTCCAAGGTTAGGTTTGGGCACAAAACCTACTTGGTTAAATTTAGAAACAAAAACAACTTGTTTATCTAAATTTAGGACCAAAGCTCAAACTGCACAGCAGACCACACTCACCTGAGCCCTAATCTTGTGTACCTAGCCATCCACTTCCCACTTCAGACTTTGCGGTTCTACTGTATATCCTACATCTCCCAGCTTCTTCCTTTACTCATGTCATCATTTCTATCATTGTTACATATAATATGCAAATGTTGGTCACAGTAACCTGCAGGTGCAAACAGCATATGAAGTCTTTTTTTAATACAAGGACAGTCTCTTTCCCCATAATCTCTCTCTTCCATGATTTCCAACTTTAAGAGTTATTATATGGATTAAACATTTAAAGTCTGTGTATCCATGACTGGAATGCTGATTACAAGTTAGAAATGTTGCTTTAGTAAATTTAACAATAATAAATACATAAATGAAGAACTGTATTTCCTGTACAGTTTTGCAAGGGAAAAGGCAGAGAACAGTTAATCAACACACTGTCAGCACTGAAAAAATCATGCTTATGTCTTCTATATGTTAAATTGTTCAAGGAAAATTGTGTATTTTATAGTTTTGTGTACTACTGGCATGGAACATTCCTGATAATGCATGAATTGCCTTTTTGAGTCATCAGCCACACTTCTGATCAACTGTTAGTACTATTTAGGGATGTTAAATAATTTGCATGCATTTGTAATCATTCCTGACATCTCAACTGATTTTATTCATGCATGAATAATTTGTTTCACCTCACATTACCAGTACACTTTTGCTTAAGAATTTTATGAAACTTCAAGAAAAAAACAAAGTATTTTGTACTGAAAAAAAAATATATATATATATATTTGTTCCAGTTTATACTATATAATGAAATTGCCAAAAATATCTATCCTGCTAGCTTCATTTTGTCTTTGTTAAATGTTTACAAGCCATTTTCGACGTATTTATCACTAGAGACTGTTCATCATAGTGATGGCCTGGGGGAAGAAACTGTCCCTGTGCCTGGTTGTCTTGGTGCACAGTGACCTGTAACGCCGTCCAGAGGGGAGGAGTTCAAACAGGGTCTAAGGAGGGGTCTGCAGTGATCCTCTCCACCTTCCTTTTGACCAGTGAGGTGTACAGGTCCTCCATGGAGGGCAGGCTTGCACCAATGACCTTTTCTGTAGTCCTGACTGTCCGCTGAAGTCTGTTCCTGTCCTGGTTGGTTGCTGAGCCAAACCAGACAGTGATGGAGGTGCAGAGAACAGACTCGATAATTCCTCCGTAGAACTGTATCAGCAGCTCCTGGGGCAGGTCGAACTTCCTGAGCTGGCACAGGAAGTACATCCTCTGCTGTGCCTTCTTGATGATGGTCCTGATGTTGGATGTCCACTTCAGGTCCTGGGAGATAGTGGAGCCCTGAAACCTGAAGGACTGCTGATACAGTGTTACTGAGTATGGCTAAAGTCCACTGTCATTTCCACTGTTTTGGGACTGTTCAGCTTCAAGTTGCTGCAACCACACTACAGGGCCAGCTGTAAGCTGATTCGTCACTGTCTTGGATGAGACCTATGACCTTTGTGTCATCTGCAAACTTCAGGAGCTTGACAGAGGAGTCCCCTTAGGTGCAGTTGTTGGTGCAGAGTGAAAACAGCAGAGGGGAGAGCACACATCCCTGGGGGGCACCTGTGCTTATTGTCTGGGTGCTGGATGTGGTTTTCCCTAGCCTCACCTGCTGCTCCCTGTCTGTCAGAAAGCTCGTAATCCACTGTTAGGTGGGGGCAGGCACAGTGAGCTGGGTCAGTTTGGAGTGGAGGATGTCCGGGATGATGGTGTTGAAAGCCAAGCTGAAGTCCACAAAGAGGGCTCGTGCATAGGTCCCTGGGGAGTCGAGGTGTTGCAGGATGTAATGCAGTGTCATGTTCACTGCATTGTCCACTGACCTGTTTGCCCGGTAGGCAAACTGCAGGGGGTCTACGATGTCCTTCAGGTGGGCCAACACCGGGTCTCTCAAAGGACTTCATAACTACAAATGTCAGGGCGACAGGTCTGTAGTCGTTCAGTCCACTGATGGAGGTTTTCTTGGGGACTGGAATGATGGTGGAGCATTTGAAGCAGGAGGGGACTTCACACAGCTCCAGTGACCTGTTGAAGATGAGTGTGAAGATGGGGGCCAGCTGATCAGCACACACTTTCAGGCAGGAGGGGGTCACACCATTTTTGCCTGATACCTTTTTGATTTTTCGTTTTTGAAAAAGGCCCTGCACCTCCATTTCACAGAAGTGAAGGAGGTTACTTGCTACAAGAAGAAAAAAGTCTGCTGTATTCTGTTATGAGACAATATAGCCCCCAAATAGAATTGATTTAGAAAGTGTGTGTGTGTTTATACAGTATGTATATATGTGCACCACTTCAGAACTCTCCAGCTCATTGTCTGAAACGATTTCTGGTGCTTTTTGAAGTCTTCTTTGGGTCATTGTCCTGCTGTAAGACCAGGACCTCTGATACAGACCCAACTTTCTGACACTGGGCCTCAGAATTCATCGGTAGGCTTGAGTTTTTATAATGCCATACACACATTCAAGACATCCAGTGGCCATAGCTCTTCTCTTTGGCATGGAGTTATGGAGTGAAATTTGAGCACAAAGATTAAAAACATCTCTCTAGAATGACCGACCCCTTCATTCCTACCACTACTACTCTAGTGAACAGAAACACTAAAAAACAGTTCTACTGACTGTACAGTGTTAGCTGACATAGGGTTTTTTGCCTTCCAGGGCTCTGTGCCAATTTGAAAGCTATTACTGCTTTGGTTTTAAAAGCTATTTTCGTTGTAAGCTTCTTCCAGCTCTTTGTAACCAGGAACTCCCAGAGACGAAGCAGACCACTTGGATTATATAACAAATAACCGTGCTGGTTTATTCAAAGAATCACAGGTAAAATTAACATTACACGTCCAGATCTCTTCCACCTCCAATCCTGCACGCAGGCAGAAGCCAGTATGAAAAGACCCTGAACCATAATGCCTATACAATATTATCACTTGGTTGGGCTAGTCCATGCTACCCAGGAACGTCAAACCGTGACGTCACCTGATATGCCAGCTTTGCAGCTGACCATAACAATAGTCAAAACATGAAGAAAATCAATGTGTGTGGCTGTTGACTAGTGGTGTGTATCTAAGAACATTCTGACATGACATCTAGTGACATGTCATGACATTACACATAAGAAAATATTATGATTACAATTACGGTTACACATATCATAATAATAACAATATCCTCCTGCCTGCAAACTTTTTCTATCTAGTTGTCCTTGGCCATATGCACCCTGCAAGAAACTCATGAGAATGACTAAGCATTTAACAGCCTGAGCTAGACAGCCTGGCTCCACTAAACATTTCTAAAACAACAAATATCTAACCAATATCTATCTGACTAAAAAATTACCTAACAATTTACTCTTTTTGGTCATAGCAGGTCGTTGTTTTAAACAAAAAGTCTCCAAAAACTAACAGCACACTACCTGCTCAGCAGCAAACAGCAGTCAGTCACTGCTAGACACTAGCTGATGAAGCATTTAGTTACTAAAATCCCTCAGGAGTTGGTAGAGAACAAAAAAAGTAGGTGGTCAAAAACACAACTACAGAATCTGTAACTGTCTTCAGTTCACTGTATCTGTTTAAACCAAGATAATATGTCAATATGTTTATAGCCTGTTTGCATTGCCCTCCAGCGGTCTAAAACCAGTGAAATGCTTGTTTTTTTTGTGTTGATAACACTGTCGATTTTTGTGGTGTTTAAATTTTCTGCTTCTTTGCTTTAGCAGCTCCACTAAGTGCTGTGGAGCTCCAGCTGAGTAAGGTAAGCTTTAAATACCAACGAAGTGAGGTGAGGCCAAGCTAAATATATATATTCAGTTAAAAATGCAGCTGAGTGAGGTGAATAGAAGCTGTGAACAGGGCGAAATGAGGGTGAGCTGTAAGTTAAAAGCTTGTAAGCAGTTCAAACGTTAAATTCAAAACACTGGTGAGGGCTTACTTTGTCCAGCTTGACACAATTCATTTTCCCACAGCAGTTTCTAAAAATTATTATACAGCAGAATAATGGATAGCATTATAGTTTTTTAAAAAAGCTCTTGTTTACGGATGTGGTCTTTTTTAGTGTGTCCTTGAGCAAGACACTGAACCCCCAGTTGCTCCTGGTGATGACACCGGTGTGTGAATGTGTGAGCGTTTGGGAGTGTGAATGGGTGAATGGCCAAATAGTGTGAAAGCGCTTTGAGTGTGCTGTAAAAAGCATAGAAAGGTGCTATACAAGTATAAGACCACTTACCAAAAGACCATTTTTTAGCATAAAGGAGTATGATCATCATCACTGCCATATAAGCCTTAAGGTATCTGACTCTCATATTTAATGTCTCTGGTAACTATATGCACATGTTGCCCATGGAAACTTGTTCAGAACCGGAGAACATATTTTCATGGCACAGCACATCTCCTTGGCTTCTGATAATTGGAACGGTCTGTATTTTAAGGCTAAAAATAATGTGTTCTGTCACATTAATACACACTAAAAATCTGTGAATGGGGTGAGCTCATTTGACCTGCACGTTTCCAGTGCAGTTTCAACTTATTAGATACTCCTGAGAGTTTCTGCACTTGTAGTCGATTGGTTCAAAATAAATTCTTGAAGCAGGTTGAAATGTAATATGCTTTCAACTGTATAAACCAGAGCAGCAAAAATGTATTGATTCTTAGCAGCAAGACAATTTTATGGCTACCATTCTTTTCCTCAAGGCAGACTGCTTAATCAAGCTGTATACTAAATGAAAGTCCTCTCAGGCAAACACTTGAACTAACTGTATCCACACTACAAGAGATGACTGGTACTGTATAGAATTGTACAGCACAAGATGCAGTCTCTCACTAAACAAGGTTGGTGAGCTAGATCTGTGGCTAAAAAAAAACTTAATGCTCAGGTATATAATGTTCACATGCAACACTACCTGAGCAAAAAAGAGACATTTTCTAAAGCATTTCACATCAATAAAAGCTGGAAACAAAATAATCCACTATTTTGAGCAGCATAGATGACGTCAAACTGTTTTCAAAAACTCTCCATCACTGTTAAGTGCTATACTTTATTTAGCAATTTTAAATGAGCGCAGAGCAAAGTACCACTGAACATAAAAGGGATAGCCCTTGTTCAGGAAACATATTCAGTGTGCTGCTCCTAGTTGAAGCCAGATGGTTAGAATCAGGAGCGTGAACCTGCTTGCATGGATCACAGCCTTTGTTACGTCCTTTCCGTCTCTATACAGTAGATCAATCATAGGAATCACTGACATACTGTAACAAAAGATTGTAGAGCTAGTTATATTAAATTACAAAATCCACAGACATGCCATCTACATGTTTGTCTACAAAGACCAGGATGGATGGAAGTCTACAGTAAGTCTGAGTTGATGCCATAATATCGGAGCTGGCAATGTAACTAATCATAACTGTTATGTTAAAATATGTACAAGTTATTTTACCTCTAAGTAATATGAGACTTTCTACTGTAGCCATTTCTGCAATTTTGATACCACTGACTGTTATCATTAATTAACATCATAATTTAATCAATATGCTGATGCATTATGGCTGGTGTTTCAATACATCTTGTGTTAAACCCAGCTCAAATCACAATAGCAGTGGGAGAATGAGGGTCATGGAAGATCAAAATATGATAAACAAATGTTTTAATAGCTGCGTCATACAGTATTGGACACATAGTCAAGCTCTGCTGGTACACAGCTCAGACTATTCTGCTACACGACAGACTATTCTATTCAGATATTCTGACCTCCTTATATAAATAAATGTGGAGGACAAAAATAGAGACACTGTTAGATATGTGATTCACTTGATACATTTCTGACAATTTCACCAAAAACTGAAACATTCCTTATAAAAGGTAGATGCTGTATTGGATTGCATTCCATTGTACATTTGACCTGTACCTAATAAAGTAACACATACATGCAGATATTTATATTGTTGATTCAGATCAGTGAGGAATATCCACATACCTTCCAACATAAAAAACTGTGACTTCATAAATAATTCCATGATTACAGTTTCACTTCAGCAATATCTTCAAAATTGAATCCTGCTTGTATTTGCCTGTTTTGATGTCCTTTTTAGTACTGATGCAAAATTTTATTGTGACCACACAGTGTACTTGACCTTCATTACCTCAGCGGACATCAATATAGGAGGGTTGCACAGACCAGCCAATCACCAATTGGCTGAGAGCAATATTGTAAATGAAAGTACTTAAGTCTGTGACCTCATTTGCATTTTGAGGTTAAGCTTAATTACACCACACCTCTAAAAACCATTCTGCTGAGAAAAAGTACTGTTATCTCTCTATAGAGAATATGAAGTTGTTGTTACACTCTGTTGAATTATGGGTAAATATCATTTTGGAAGATCACGCTCATCCATCACAGATATATACACACAATATATACACTTCTATAAGTTAAAGAAAAATATATACTATCCCATGCAGCTAGATACAGTAATGGATGCTTCAGCTACATTCAAACGTCTTCTTTAGTGTTTAGTTTGAGCAGAGAAAAGACAGAAATTGAGTCATCCTCAGTGTTTGTGTGATCTGTCGACAGCTGACAGCTAGTGTTAGCTCCCAAACCGAGAGCTGAGTGGAACTGAGTTCAGGGTGCAGAGTCATTTTTCAGTGTGTCGCTCTCTAGGTCTGCAATGAGTTAGCCACAGACAGCTAGTTATCCATTCTGAATTACTACAGTCAGTGAAGTGAGATCTAAACAATTTGAGCAGCTTTTTTAGCCAAACAAAGCAATAATGTACTCAGGTAAATGCAGTGAATATCTCCCAAAGCGGTGTCCCCCCCATCCCAACATTCAACATTGCATGACGTACCTTCACATTCTCTATACATGTAGTAAAGAGATCCTAGGGCTCCTTGGGCAACTCCACTGTAAGAAATGACAATGAAATCCACAGTCCCAGTGCCCCTTCACACAAGCTCAGTAAGAAAACACTTTGTGACTAAACATAGAAAAAAACTTTACCTTTGACAAATACTGACATAATTTACTTAACAGAACACCAAGACTGTAGATTTTGCCCCCTCTTCTCCCACTGCAGACTCAGGAGACACTCAGTTGCTCTCAGTCTTTCCTTTTTCTCAGTGTACATTTATAAAGCTGATTCATAAAGCTCTAAGATAAGTACAATTTTTTACTCAAATTTCCATGTCTTCTCCTGAGAGGATTTGCGTCCAATTTAATTTTTCCATCGACTTCTGCATGTGACTATATTGCCTCACAAAGCCCACAACAAAAAACAACCCCTGCAACACAACAAAAACAAAGAAAAATGGTCCCAAAAGCAAAATATCAAAGCAACACAAAACAGGTCTAAAAACGGCAAAAGCTGTCCAAAAAACACAAAATCCAAAAACAAGCCACATAGTCAAAAATGAAAAAGGCAGGGGCGAAAAAGGGCAGTTCCAAAAAGCGACCACAGCGCCAGACTTGGGAGCGTGGGCGCCAATCTGGAGGACAATCCCAAGACCGGACAGGGCACCGGAGGAGCGGCTGACCTCGGCACCGGTCAGAGGATGGCTGGGACGGCGATTGCAGCTGCAGCTGGAGGTCGGGCTGAAAGGACAGATGGGGAGCCGGCTGTGGAGCTGGTAAAGGATGCTGCCGGCGGGGAGCCGGCTGTGGAGCTGGTGCAGGAAGCAGGGCGGCCTCGCCGGCGAACCCCACTAGTGCAGGAAGCAGGGCGGCCTCGCCGGCGAACCCCACTAGTGCAGGAAGCAGGGCGGCCTCGTCGTCACCGACCCACTCGGGAACCGGAGGCAGGAGAGCGGCCTCGTCGTCACTGACCCCCTCGAAGACCAGAACAGGAACTGAAGAAAATGGGGTGGAGTCGGCCCGCCCGGCGACAGAGTCTGGTTGAGGCGAAGGAGGCTGTGGCTGGGGGGGGGAAGGCAGGTGCGGCTCGGGGGGTGGTGGGACGGGGG